TGCCCCAAGCTATGTCCTCACAGCTGAGTCTGCCTTACGGACTATACTCTTCTTCCTCAGTCACAACCTATCCAGCTTTTGAAGAAAGTGGTTGACGTTACAGAAGCTCCACCAGCAGAGCCTTGTGGCTATGACCCAGGACCACCGTAGCCCCGCCCCCACCCCTCCAGGGCCTCCCCTGTCAGGCATGTTGACTGACTGTGCATCGTCTCCCCTCTCTCTCTCTGCCCCAGATCAGTGGACCACCCCCTGCCCGGATCCTCTCTCTCCACAGACTTTGGCAGCTGGCAGATGGTAACAGGCTGTGGCAGTATTCAGGAACGGGCTGTCCTGCACACAGACTCCTCTCTCCCTTTCAGCTTCCCGGATGAGCTCCCTAACCGTTGTCTGTAAGTGTCTTGCTTGAGAAGGCAGGATGCTCCCCTGCCCGTGTCAGAAGCTGGTGAGCAGTCCAGAGTGTTGGCTAGGAGTGAGGCAGCAGCTGGCCCCAGGGAGCTGGCCCGGGGTCCCCGCCCCCGTGTCTCCGCTAAGTACACTTCACTGCCCCTGGACTCCTGAGGTATGAACAAGGCCTTATGGGCTGAGCCGGAAGTGTGCTGCGGGGTGTGTTCATTTTCCCCAGCCTCCAGAACTCATCCACGGGTGCCTCAGGGCACACCCTGAGGGAAAGCTGGCTGGACTGTAACTATAGAAGGCTCTATTTCTGTCCAAGGCTTTGCCTGACGTGAGAATCCTTTGAAATCAGAACAGTGGGGTAGTGAGAGTAGGTGTGTGATGGAGACCAGAGCCAGAATGGAGCTAGGTTAGCCCGAGGGCTGTGCTCCTCCAGGCAGAACCAAGGGTTTCTTGCCCTCCCCTTTCGCCTCTGGCCAGGAAAGAGAAGTGGGTGGGGTGCTAAACCCCAAGCCTACAAAATCCTCTTCCTTTAAGGCTCCGGTACTGGGCTTCCGACTCTTGTAGCGTGTCTGCTTGAGTGGCTGCCCCTGCCTGCCCTGCTGCTTCGTGGATGGCAGGCAGAGGAGAGGCCCTGGCGGCCTGGGAGCAGGGCCTGCCCCTCCCGTGATGGGCTGAATGGACTTCAGGTACTAGGATTCACCATCACCACAAGAACCCGACTCCTGCCCACTGGGGCTGACAGGCTGGAGGCGAGCTGCCCAGGCAGTGAAGAAGGATCGATCCCTGCCGAAGGTGGGCAGAGACCGGATCTTGGGATTCTAGGATGGAACTGGCCCAAGAGCCACCTCTGGAGGAAGCAGGCATCTCTGCCCCTGCTTGTTAGCACCCCTCACTTAACTGGCATTAACCACTGAAACACAGAGCTTACAGTTTATACCTGGGGCAGCTCTCTGAGGTCCTAGGCAGCCCTCAGGGTCTAGGTGGTTCCCAGAAGAAGGCTAGGTTCTGTGTTATCTCATGGCCTCCAAAATTGCGCTGTAGGGGTGGGGTCAGGGTTGATTCCCGCTGCGGTCATACAGTATGTGGATTTAGTGCTTGGGCTTTGTTTTCAGAGAAATGTAGCTCAACTCCTAGCTGCTCTGCTTACCAGCTGTGTCTTGAAATGCTAGTTCATTTCTTGAGGGGGAATGGCGCTAGAGTATCTCCGCCTGCCTACCTGTTGCCCCCTGTGTGTCCTCAGGCGGATCACAGATCCTCTCTGGGCTCCAGTTTTCTTGTCTCTAAATAGGCTGATCTCTCCCCCCTTCTGCCTCCCAGAAATAAGGGGAAGTAAGAATAAACACATACAGACCTGTGGGCATTCCATGTGAATACGAACCACTAATCTGAATCTCTCCTGGTTATATGCTGTAAGGAAAAGCTGAAGAACACATGGCCTCCAGCCTATAGGACACGTGATTAAAAAGTAAAGAAGATCTAGGGCCACACATCTCCCCCAGATGCCAAGAGAAACTTCGGAGTTGTTCACGGTGTTGCAGGAATACAGTATCAGCTCCATTTTCTTAGTGCTGCTGCAAGAGCTACTTGACTTTCCTTCACCCGAGAACCTGCCGCTCCTTTCTCTGCCTCTCACACTCACCCACTCATATAAGCCACTCCCACCAATGCACTTTCCGTAGGTCCGTTCTCCCCATACCTACCCCAGGACTGTCATTTATCTTCCTACCTCCGTCTGTTTCCCCCAGGCCCTGGGGTGCAAGTCATTTGGGCTTGAGAACCGGAGACATTGCTGCTACTTCTGACAAACTCCTGGGAGGGATTATGCAGGGATTGGTCTCTTGGGGAAACTTTGGGATACGTTAGTGGTCAGGGGTAGTTGTCTTCTAGGTGAATGGGAACAAGAGGGCTCATGTCATACTAAGTCTGTGACCCCTGGAGAAAGCCCTCTAGGACACAGGTGAACACTGTGTGACTTCCTGACCTTTCCTCTGATTCCATGTCCCTCCCACCCCTAGCCGGCATACCTTTGAGTCCCTAGGTTGTGTGGCTGCTACGCCTCTTCTATTAAAGACCTTTCAAAGTGTCAAGTAGCCTCATTCTTTGATAAGCCTGAGTTTTCATGTACTTGTTCCCCTTCATTTGGCTTTTTTAACTTGTTCTCCTCCTTCTTGACTTCTAGTTACAGGGCAAGGAGAGAAGAGGGGCTTCCTGTCCTCCACCTGTGATCAGTGTTTGTAGAGGAAAGAAAAGCAGATGGAAGCAGCACAGGAATCCTGCTAGAAAAGCCAGCACCCCTTAGCAGTTTGCCTGGGGACCACAGGGACTGATGTAGCTAGAGCCTCAGGGGCTTTCCGCTGAGGGCCTCTCCAGGACACTGCCCAGAGCTCGCTCACTCTCAAGAAGGCTAAGGCCTGTGGCCAGCCAGGGCCTGATGCCTGATCCTGTGGTCTCTTCTTAGGTCCAAGATGCGTGCCTCACTACCGAGGAACGGAAGCCACCCTCTAGCTTACCTTCCCCTCCCCCTCAGTGCACCAGCAAAACCCGTTGCTTCTAGGTAGGAACAGTAGCCTGAGAGCTGAGGGGAACGAGGCCAAATAGTTGTGGCCTGAACCACAGAGGCAGTACGGCCACAGGACGGATGCTGGCCTTGTATTTTCAAATGCAGAAGGATAGGTGGTGTGGTATAAACATGAGGATGTTGGACCCTGCCCCAGAGTCACTCACCGCCCTCCTTCCCTCCCTCCCCATAGGCTGGCAGCCCTGAGTGAGCGGGAGACTCGCCTGCAGGAAGTACGCTCAGCCTTCCTGGCCGCATACAGCAGCACAGTGGGGCTTCGAGCAGCAGCCCCCAGTCCCTCTGGTGCCATCGGAGGCCTGCTGGAGCAGTTTGTCCGTGGCGTTGGACTCCGGGGCACCAGCAGCAGCACCTTATGAAGTAGCCAGCCCACAACAGTTTCCTGCTCCTCTCACCTGAGCCCTGAGCAGAATCAAAGCCATGCCCGGACAAGGGGTGCTTCAAGATAGGGGGAAATCTCACTCCTTCTCCGTCACGCACGTGGCAGCCCCAAAGCCAAGCAGGGCCGAGGACAGGGTTCTCCAGCCCCCAGCTTCCTGACTGGTGATCACCACCCCTCTGGTCACTGCCTTTCACCCACTCTGGTCTTTCTTGGGATTCCCATCAACTTTCAGAACTGTAGGGGAGTTCCCTGGGGCCTGATGAAGGCTGAGACCTCACAGAAGACTTCCTCTTTCCATTCTTATTTTCCTGGAGAAGAGGGATCACCTGCACTGAGAATGAGGCAGTTTGACACAGATCACAAAATAAAGTCTTTTTGAACAACTCTCTTGCATTCTCATTTGATTGCTGTCTTTGTGGAGTTATTTGGAAGGTTCTTCGTGTTCTTGGGCCTGAAGGGGGTGGGGAGGGGCAGCTAAAACAGACAACTGAAGACAGGGTTGTGCCTCTTAACCCCTACCTAAGCCATGATAATCTCAGTGAGATGGGGAGATGTAGTCACAGGTGGTTAAAGTGGGAGTAGTGATCCTCAGGCATCAGTGGACCCTAGTCACGTAGGAAGCCTAGTCACACAGATTTCCCAAGTAAGAGGAATTTAGATGGGGCTGCTGAGATCTTCAGTTAGCTAGGAATGGGTCGGGGTGGGGGATCCTTCATTTTTAACAAGTTCTGCAGGCAGCACAGTCCTGGTACAGGTGACTAGCAGTCCCTGCCTCACGGAGCCCTGACTTTGGTGGAGCCCTGGCTTCTGGGGCTTTGGAGGCAGTAATTAATGTGGGGAGAATGGACCTGGCGGACTACCACCCTCATCTGCAGTGTGACCTAGATAGAGTAGATTGCATCCCCACAGTATGTCTGCATCTCTTAACACCATGAAGTCAGGGTTCAAAGACATGGGCAAAGGGCTTTTCACAGTGCTGTAACAGCCACTGAGCTCTGTCTCTTAACACAAAAGAGGTCATCAGTGTTACTGCCCAGAGGAAGGAAATCACAGCAGTGAACATTTTTTGAGAACTTACTGTGTGAAATCCCCTGAGCTAAGGATTATCTCAAAATTTTACATCACACCAAGTTAGGTACTATTGTAATGAGACTGGGCCACAGAGACGTTGAGTAACTTGCCCAAGGTCACACAGCTAATAAGGACAAATGTACCACTCTTCCTATTCAGAGACCTAAGCAGGGCGGAAATGGGAAGGGGGAGAAGCAGATTGTTCTGGGAGCAGTTCAGGAAGAGGAAACGTCCCCAACGCCCCACACCAGGCGCCCCACACCATGCAGCACGGTGGACAGCTCTCAGAGGGGTTTTGGGTTTCGCCGGGGAGGGGGGGAAATGAGCCGGGAGGGACTCTCCCAAGGTATGAGCTGGACGTGGGGTCGGGTTAGGTTCCCGGCAGGCTCGAGGCTGCTCCAATGGGGCGGGGGCCACCCGCAGGGCCGGGCGGGGCTATGTAGCCATCTGGAGTCACTGCCGCCGGCGGCCACAGTCAAGGCGCGATCGGCGGGGGTGCGGGCAGGGCTGGAGGGAGTGCCGCCGCCGCCGGCACACGGGCCGGCCCCGCCGCCGCCGCCGCCGCCGCACCTAGCCCGGCAGCCCCGGTCTCGCAGCCTCCCGCGGTTCCAGCCACTCGACCAGCCATGTCTCTCAGCGGAGCCTCTGAGCGCAGCGTCCCGGCCACCAAGATCGAAATTACCGTGTCCTGCCGGTGAGCGGCCACGCTGGGGAGGGCGTAGGCACCGTCCCGGCCCCAATCGGCTGTGGGGCTCGGCGCCAACGAGAGCTAGACCCCGGGGGAGAGAAGATTTCAGGGCCGGAAGATCTCAGATTCAGACTTAGGGTAGTCGCCGGCAGGTTTGGGGAGGGAGGTTCTTTAGACAGCTCCACCCGCAAAAGAGGGTTCAGTCTGCGGGTTCAAGTGACGGGTCACGGGGATCTAGTAGGATCTGGGCCCCAGGAGGACAAAGTTCTGGGTCCGACCCTCTTTCCTGGGCCCTTTAAGGCAGTGTGGACGCGTACACAACGGTTCTTGAGCGGATATTTCCGGTGCTGTCCAGGGTGCTGACAACGGGGGCCCTCCCTTCTCCCCCAACCCCCACACATCCCCACCCACCGCTGGGTGTAGTAATGAGGGAGGGAGATGCGATTTGAGCCCCATGCCTCCCCGGGGTGCCGGACTCGGGGCGGAACCCACCGGGGCAGAGTCGACGCACTCGGCTCCAATATGACCCACCCTCCTTCCGTCTGTCTCTTCCTCTAGGAATTTGCTGGACCTCGACACCTTCTCCAAGTCCGACCCCAGTAGGAAGCGCCAGGGACGGGAGGGGGAACTGGGGTCCGGGCGCGACTGAGGGACGGGGAGGGGTTCAAGCCAATCTGACTTCCCTCCCTCCCCGCCTCCACTCTCGCCTGCAGTGGTGGTGCTTTACACGCAGAGTCGGGCCAGCCAGGAGTGGCGAGAGGTGAGCCCTAGAGCCCTCTCTGAGCCGAGAGCCGCCCCCGGGGAATCACCCGCCCCCTTGCAGGTCCCGTGCTGACTCTCCACCCCCTATCCAGTTCGGACGGACGGAGGTGATCGACAACACGCTGAACCCAGACTTTGTGCGCAAATTCGTCCTCGACTACTTCTTTGAGGAAAAGCAAAACCTGCGCTTCGATGTGTGAGCCCTGCCGGAATCCTGGGTTGGACCGACCCCCAACCTGGATGCAGGAGAAATTCTGGCAGGCCCTCCCCCCCCCCCCCCCCCCCCGGCCCAGACTCCCAGCCTGACTCCTCCACCAGGCCCTTTGGCCTCACTCTGAAGGCCTCTACTCTAGTTTTAGCTCATTCCCGAGGTCTAGCTTGGTCCGGCCCTTAGGTCAACTCTAATCCAGTGCCCTCCCCAGAGCTGGTTGGGCCCAAAGCTTTGCTCCCTAATTTAGCTCCGGCTTCATCTAGGCCCCGCCCCTGCTATGACCCCACCCTCACCAGGCCCCAGTCTTGGCCTTGCCCCAGGCCTCTCACTCTGTGACCCTGATTCCTGCCCGAAAGGAGATCCAGACTGAATTCGGATGCAAGGTCACCCCTCCTTCCACCCACAATTTTAACCAGGATTCAAAACCTGACCCCTCTTCCTGGCTCTCTCCCACCAGCCCTGCCTTATGCTGGTTGCACTCTCTTCCCAGGTACAATGTTGACTCCAAAACCAACATCTCCAAACCGGTGAGCAAGCAGAGCATCCCCTGGCGGCCTGGCCAGGCACACAGGGGGCACTCAGTGTGTTAAACCCTCCTTAGAATCCGTCTATCCCTCAACCCCAACTCTACCCTCTTGGGCCCCAAACCCACCCTCCTGGCCTTCCTCTCCTGCCTCTGCCTCATGACGTCGTGCCTGTGCATTTTACTCACTGTCGCTTTTCCTTCTCGGCCACCTTTCGGACACACAGAAGGTGAGGCTGAACAGGGCTGGTTTTGAGATGGGGAGGTGGGTGTCTGGAATGGAAGGTGGGGTGCGGGGTGGCATTGCGGAGAGCAGCTTAAACTGGCAGCAGGCCCAAGCAGCAGAGCTGGCCTAGGGACTCCTCCTGTAAAACACAGACAGGACGATGCTTCTGGCCTTCTGCCACCTTGGAACACCCTGGTCCAAGCAGCACTATCACCAGGGCTGGGCTGGGGCTCTGCATCCCCAGCCCCTCCTGGCCTTCTTAACTCCATGTCCTGGTGCAGGATTTCCTGGGACAAGCATTCCTGGCCCTGGGAGAGGTGATCGGAGGCCAGGGAAGCCGTGTAGAGCGATCCCTCACGTGAGCTGAACCAGAAGGGGTGCCGGGGAAGGGTGGGTGCCTCCAAATTTTCCTCCCAAAGATGCTGCTGACCCAATAGCAGTGGAGGCTGGGATTCCTTTCACTGGTTGGGACCTTTCAGTGGTCTCAGGCCTGACATGTCTTGTTTGTGATCTCTCTCTCTCTCTCTCTCTCTCTCTCCTCACTCCGTCCTTCTCTTCTCATTCTTTTTCTAAGTCTGATTCTACCTTTCAGATCCACTTCCAAACTCTTTTCCTCCAGGAAGCTTCCCCTCACTAAATCAAGTCCCCTGGAATTTCCATTATATTCATTATACTAAATATTTATTAGCATGTTTTGTATGGCATACCCTGTGCTAGGCACCAGGGACTTATTCGTTCCATAAATACTACTGGGCCTATACTCTATGTCAGCCACTGTTCAAGGGGCTTGGGCTGTAATGATGAATAAAACAAAGGTTCCTGCCCTCAGGAAGCTCATATTATAGGAGGGGGGAGAAGCTGTACAAAATAGACATAATAAATAAGTAAATTATACATTAGAAGACATTAAGTGCTATGGAAAAAAGGTAAAGTAGAGCAGAATTAGGATTGGAAATGCTGGGTGGGTGGGACCTGCAATATTCACCAGAGCACTCGAGTAGGCTTGATGGAAAGGTAACTTCAGAGCAATGACCAGGAGGAAGTAAGGAAGTGAGCCATGCAGATATCTGGAGGTGGAAGGCAGAGGAAGCTGCCCGTGCAAAAGCCCGATATGCTCAGAGAGCAGTGAGGAGGCCAGTGTGGCTGTAGCCAAGTGAGCAAGGAGGAAGCGGAGGTGAGACTGGAGAGTTAACAGTCTAGGGCCTCGTAGCTGCTGTAGAGACTAGGTTTTACTCTGAGTTGGGAGTCACTGGAAGGCTCGGGGGAGAGGAGCGACATGATCTGACTATGTTTTCAGACAATGAAGCTGGCTGCTGGATTGAGAATAAACCTTGGGTGGACAAAGGTAGTAGCAGAGATCCTATTGGAAGACGATTAGAGTAATCCAGGGCGGTAGCAGTGAAGGAGAGAAGTGGGCAGATTCTGGATATAACTTGAAAGGGGAGCCGTCAAGATTCCTGACAGACCGAATATGGATGTGAGAGGAAGGGGGGAGTCAAGGATGACATCAAGGCCTTTGGCTTGAACACCTAGAAGGAAGGAGTTGCCATAAATGAGATGGTTAATAAAAGGAGACTAAGAAGGAGCATTAATGAAGTAAGAGGACGAAGAGAAGAGGGTACTATACCGCAGGCACAGTGAAGGTAGTGTGTTGAGGAGAGAGTGGCCGGCCACGTCAAATGCTGCAGGTCTGAAGTTCTGAAGGAAGAGGTGGGGGTGACAGGCTGGTTGGAGAGGTTTAGAAGAGAACGGAAGAAAGGAATGAGAGTCAAGGAATCTTTTAAGAGGTTTTGCTGCAAAGACAAGAAGAGAAAAGGAGGGAGCGGTTAGCAAAGGAAGTGAGGTCAGAATAGGTTTGCATTTTTAACATGAGAAAAAGTATACTACATTTGTATGTTAATGGGAATGATCCAGTAGAAACTGAAAAATAGACATAATAAAAAAAAAAAAAAGATTACTGGAATGGTGTCCATGCACAGGCAAGAGCGTGTGGAATGTAGCACACAGTGGAGGATAAATAGGCACATGGATGGTCATTTATAGCAACAGTTGCGTGGGTGAAGATACTGGAGGCAAGGTAGGTGTGGTGGGAGGACTGTGGACATTCTCTTCTGGTTGCTTCTGTCTTGTCAGTGAAGTAGGAAACAAGGTCATGGGCTGAGTGAGGATGGGGGAGGAGGAGGCTTTCCACGTTGGAGGAGAGAGGAGGAGTGAAACTGCCATCTAGCAGAACTGGAGACTGAAGTATGACTAAGGACCCTCTTGAGGTTTGTGGTCGTGCTTTAAAAGGAGATCAGTTAGGGACACCTGGCTGGCTCAGTCAGTAGAGCATGTGACTCTTGATCTCGGGGTCATGAGTTCAAACCCCATGTTGGGTGGAGAGATTACTTAAAATAAATAAATAAAATATCTTTTAAAACGAGACCAGTTAACAAGATTTGTGTTTTCCTCTGGCCGTATTTAGTTGCACAGGTGCAGTATGGCTTAGGCAGAGAATTGTATTGACATGGGGCTGTGGTTCCGCCCAATAAGTATATTGAAGTGACAGAAGAGCAATGGATAAGGGGTAGGACGCAAGGGAGTGATCATAATAATCATCGACTGGAATTCACACTGGGTAAGAGGGGTGAGGGAAAACAGTAAGGAGGCAAAGAACAGAGAGAAAGTGGAGGATCAGAGACTTGGTCCTGGATGTGCAGGTGAAGAGTCCCTGTATTCCTCACACTCTGTCTTTTTAAAGCACAGAGTCAAAGATCGAAAGAGCCAAACAAATGGTTCAACATTCATGTGAAAAACAGGGAAAATCACACAGCAAGTTGAAGTCAGGACTTAAACCCAGGATACTCCTGACCTAGCTTTCCCTCTGCCATACTTTGGATCCCTTTGGGGAATCAGGGTTCACAGGCCCATATCAGCAAGTCCGCAGACCACATAGATACCCAGGCAAGTCGGGGATGGGTTTCCTGGTATGTGCCCAGGATGCATGGAAGTGTCCCTTATTGGGTCAGGAGAGGATACGGCTGCCCTTGTCTTTTGTATTTCACTCTTCACATTTATTTCCGGCTTCAGAAATCACAGCATCTTTGATCTAACCGAACAGCCCTTTGCCTGTGTCTCGATAGAAATTCCTCTCCCTCACTCAGCACTGCTACATCACACTCTACTTGCCTGTTGGCTTTGACATTCCACTGGAAGACTCTCTGAGGGCAGAGTCTAGCAGAACTGGAGAGTACCGACTGGCCAATTCATACTGGCCTAACACAGTGCCTGGCATATAGTAGATACCAAGGTTTGCTTTGAGAAATAGAACCACTTCATTATCAATAAAGCCTCCCAACTGCTTGTCCTTCCGTGTACTCATTCATATCTTTTCATAGCCCTGAGAGGTGGGAATGATTCCCATTTCATAGAGGAGGAAACTAGGACCCCCCAAAAAAGGGGGAAATAACTTACTCAGGATTCTAAATTCTATGCCTTTCCCAAGCTACCATTATAACATGTCCACCTAGGCCAGAGCAGCCCCTTCCTTACAGACCGTAGACCCCTTCCCAATCAAAGTCAGGGCCTCCCCGCCCCCAGGAACAACCCCGGACAGAAAGGAATACATTTAGGGGACTGTCAGTAAATTGCATATTGAATCCCTGGCCCACTCAATCCCAGACTGGCTTCCCCAATCTTCATTGCCTACTCTCCCTCCCCTCACGAAGAGGACTTTTCTGCTTCCAGGGGTGTACCAGGCAAGAAGTGTGGGACCATACTGCTGACTGCAGAGGAGCTTAGCAATTGTCGGGTCAGTAAGGGCCATATGCTAGACCCACAAAGCTCCCTTCTCTCCCCACCCCCTTTAGCGGACTGTGTGAAGCTATGAACAATTTGGATGTCAACAAGTCAAACTCTGCCCCTAGGACATTGCCACCATGCAGCTGTGCGCAAACAAGCTGGACAAGAAGGATTTCTTTGGGAAATCAGACCCCTTCCTTGTGTTCTATAGGAGCAATGAGGATGGCACGTGAGTCAATGCTCTCTCCAGTGGCAGCCATCCCTCCCCGGCGGTGACCATGGGCCCATCAGGGCTCTTGGGCTAGATGTGGGGCAGCGTAGACTCCACGAGGACCTGAGCTCAGAATTCACTCGAGGCAGAGGACAAAACGTGTTTAACAAGTGGGGAAATCCCAGGAATCTCAAGAGTGTGAGGACCTATCTCTGGGCTCACTCCGACCCCCAAGGCAGGTGCCAGTCTCTTGCTCTTCCCCAGGTTCACCATCTGCCACAAGACGGAGGTTGTCAAAAACACACTGAACCCTGTGTGGCAACCCTTCAGCATCCCCGTGCGAGCACTGTGCAATGGAGACTATGACAGGTGTGCTTCAGCGTAAGCTAAGATTAAGGGAACAAGGGCATGAGAATGGGGTTTCGGCCCCTGGAATAGTGCAGAAGTGTTGATAGTTTTGGAGGATCCTGCTTGGTGAGACAGAGCTTTGGGCATGGAGATAGGTAAGTGGGGAAGCAAACAGATGGCCTCATAGGTAGACGGGAGGGTGGATGGGTGGATGGGTAGATGAAAGGGCAAATGAGCAAGCAGATACATGGATGGATGGTCAGATGGATGGACAAGCTGGTGAATGGATGGATGGGTATATGGATGAGTGTGTAAGAGGCTTGGTGTGTAGGTGTAGTGGGAGATGGATGAGCGGATAACAGATAAATGGGTAAGTGGACTGATGGGCAGATCAGTGGGTGGACAAATGATGGATGGATTAAGGATGAATGAGTAGATGGATGGGATATGAGAAATTGTTAGATGGCTAGAGAGGCAGAGGGATGACTGACAAAGCAGAAGAACAAATAGAGTGAAAGATGGATTGATGAATGGATGGTAGATGGATGGAAGGATCATCAGATGAATTGTTTGCTTAGTAAGTGTAAAGTAGGTGAATCGGCCGACCACATGAGCTAATAAATGGAGAGTACGAAAACAAGTGAGTGCATAGGTGGAAGGATGGATGGGCACATAAATGGGTGGCTATGTAGATGAATGGATGATCAGATGGATAGATGTCAGATGGTTGGGTGTTGGCTTAGATAGATGAACGGACAGACAGATGGACGCTTGCATACATCAATAAGTCATCGAATGCCTGGATGTATAGTTACACGGGTAGATAAAGATACGTGTTAATAGGTAATTAGATTGACAAATGAATGAGTAACTGGGTGGCTAGATGGATAGATAGATGGTTGTATGGACTGCAGCATAGCTATATGGACATATAGGAGGACTCAGGCATAGTAGTTAGGAACAAAGTGTTTGGAACCAGGACGTCTGGGTTTTAAGTTTCAGCTTAATCACTTACTAGTTATGGTCCTTAGTCAAGCTATTCTCTTGTGTACCTCTTATCCAAAAATAAGAACAATAGTACTTTAGGGAATGGTTGTTAAATTAAATGAGACAATCAACGAAAGTGCTGATAACAATGCCTAGAATATAGTAAGACTCAACAAGTAGTAAAGAAGAGTAATAGCAAGGGCGCCTGGGTGGCTCAGTCAGTTAAGCATCCAACTTCGGCTCGGGTCGTGATCTCACGGCTCAAGAGTTCAAGCCCCACGTCGGGTTCTCTGCTGTCATGAAGCCCACTTTGGATCCTCTGTCTCCCTCTCTCTCTGCCCCTCCCCCATCAGTGCATGCTCTGTCTCTCTCTCTCGAAACTAATAAACATTTTAAAGAAGAAGAGTAATAGCAGTACAAATAGCAGTAGAAGAAACAGTGGCAGGAGGTAGTTGGGCGCGTGCACGGGCTGATGACTGAATAAGTAGGATGGATGGACGGATGGGAGGAGAGCTGAAGGAAGAACAGATGGGTGTATGGGAGGCTGGTTTGTGTGCGGGTAGTCAGTGGGGGTGTGTCTAGGATTTATTGTGCACACCTAACCCACGTTAATGTCCTGCATTTCAGAACAGTGAAGATTGATGTGTATGACTGGGACCGGGACGGAAGGTAGAACTGCCCCACACAGTACTGTCTTCTTCTGTAGTTAATTCAAACAGCTTCCTGTGATGTGTAGTACAATCACCAGGAACCCACAGTGGCCTTGCGAGTCAGGAAATGCTGCTAACAGATGCCGGGACCTTGAGTACAACTGATCTCAGCTGCCTCTTCCCTCATTTCCCTAAACTTGGCCTCTCTTCTGGCCCCAACCCCAGTGCCCTGAAGCTCAAGTAGAGACAGGGGATAGTGGGAACAAAAGACCACTTTCAGGGCTGGCTGCAAGCCAACAGTAGCTGCTGCTCACCCACCCCTGGCCTCTCTGCAGCCACGACTTCATTGGTGAGTTCACCACCAGCTACCGGGAGCTGAGCAAGGCCCAGAACCAGTTCACAGTGTATGAGGTGAGAACCGCAGCCTTGTCCAGGTTTCCCAGGCCCTCCATCCCAGTGTTCTCAGTCTGTAGCTCTTTCTCTGTTTCCCACCATCACTGTTATCTTCTTCACTCAGGTACTTAACCCTCGGAAGAAATGTAAGAAGAAGAAATATGTCAACTCAGGAACTGTGAGTGCTCCCTAAAGCTCTAGCCCTCCCTAGATCCTCTGTTTCTATTCCCACTGACACAACATGACAAATGTTGGGGGTACAGGAAGGCTGTGGGCACAGATTACTTGGATATAGTAATGTTGGGCACAAGATGGCACCATTTAAGCTTATCTTTTGTTTTCTCACTTGAGGAAAAGTGTTTGGACTTTACTGTTGCAGAATTTTTTTTTTTTTTTTTGTAAACTTAAGTTGTATTTCCCAGTTTAATACACTTTTGGAAATCCAAATCCGTTTCTGACAGCTTCCTCTTTTTTGCCCTTTCAGAAACGGGACAGGGTGGGGGAGGGTGGGGCAGGAGGTGGAATCATGTGCCTTTCTGCTTTCTGCCACCCGACGGCCCTCTCCAAAGTGGCAAGGCTGCCTCTCTGTCCCACAGGTGACGCTGCTCTCCTTCTCTGTGGACTCGGAATTCACTTTCGTTGATTACATCAAGGGAGGGTGAGTCACAGGCCAAGTTCTGGGCTGAAAGCCCAGCATTGAGTTACTCCCAATTCTAAGCCTCCGTTGTTTTTTTATATATGAATGTTTAGGGTCCACAGAAATATGCTTTTAAACACTTGGCAAACTATGAAGTGCTCTGTAAAATGCATAGTGTTGCCCATCTTAGTTCTCCTCATGGAACTGCCTTTCATCCCTAGCATCCAGTCCCCCTAGGCAGATCCCAGACCAGTGGTCTTCAGAGATGACCCCAGTAATCTCACGGGGATCCAGATAAAAATCATAGCCAGGCAAGAGGGAGAGGCCAAGAGAGAAGGAAAACCCAAGTAGACCAAAGAGAACATTCCACTTGGATCAGTAGTGGTAGGCAGGCCTGGGTAAAGTACTTTGCTTCTCTGAACCTCACTTTCCTCCTATGCAAAATGGAGAGGTTAATTACTACTTCAAGGCTACAGTAAGGGTTAAGTCACACAAGTTACATAAACTTGTCACACAGTAGGCATTTAATTCTGCTACCCAGTGTGTGTTCCATGGACCAGCAGCATCTGCATCACCTGGGGGTTTGTTAGAAATGTAGAATTTCAGGCTACACCCAGACCATCCAGATCAAAATCTGCATTTTAACACTATCCTCAGGTGATTCGTATGCACACTAGTGCTTGAGAAATCCTGATACAATAAGTATTAATCCCTCGTATGCACACTAGTGTTTGAGAAATCCTGATACAATAAGTATTAATCCCTCACTTCTCAATCCACCTACTTCCCCAACAGGACACAGCTCAACTTCACAGTTGCCATTGACTTCACAGCTTCTAATGGTGAGGCATGGATGGGGGAATGGGGCGTGGAGGAATTCTAAGGAAGTCATTAGAGGTTGGCCTGGACTCTAACCTGGGGATAAAAGTTCACCTACTCAGGAAGCCCAGGCTCGAGGCAAAGCCCAGCCAGGTTGGGACAGGAGTTTTGGGGGGAGATTATTTGGTGTAATGCAAGGGGGTGGCAGAGGGTGCAGGAAAATAAGTGGGTAAATAAGTCAAAAAAGTTGAAACAGAGATACCTCAAGAAGTGGATGATTACATTAATGGACAGGAGATAATAGGGGCGTAAGGAGAAATGAAGAGATAAATGACTGGGTGGGTAAACAGATGAACAAACCAAGTAGGTAGATGGATTACGGAGTGAGTACAATATGTTGGACAAGTGGATGCGTGACTGGGTATGCGGGTGGACACATGAACAGATGTTTAAATTGCAGAAATAACAGGTAAGTAGATAGGGTAATGAATGAGTATACAGGTGGGTGAATCCATATGAAGACAGAATGAATGGAATGAATAGGAATAAATGGATGGGTGGTAGTTGGGTGGATACTGAATAAGAGAATGGAAAGGCAGATGGATAGAAGAAATGGACAGATAGATTGAAAGATGGATTATATCCAGTGGATGGGAGAATGGGTATGTGGGTAAGTGGACAAATTAATGGACAGACAACAGGGGCTCGTGGGTGGATAGATGGATAAATGAATATATGGCTGATTTGGCATAATAATGAGGGAGTGCAATGGGTAAAGAGTGGGTGAATGGATAGGTGGTTGGATGTATACGTCAGCAGGTAAATAGATAAATGACCAAGGTGGCCACGAGGCTGGGGGGTCCTGTGTCTCTACAGGGAATCCTCTGCAGCCCACCTCCCTGCATTACATGAGTCCCTACCAACTCAGCGCCTACGCCATGGCCCTCAAGGCGGTGGGAGAAATCATCCAGGACTACGACAGTGACAAGCTCTTCCCAGCCTATGGCTTTGGAGCCAAGCTGCCTCCAGAGGGACGGATCTCCCACCAGTTCCCCCTGGTATAGTATAGGCCGGAGCCTAAACTCCATGCCCTGGCATCTGACTCACTCAAGTTGGTGAATTTCTCCTCTTCACATTTCTTCTAAGGGTCAAGTACCTGCAGAGGACCAGGAAGCTATGAGAGGGTGACAGAAAAGGGAGGGGAGCAGGGCTGGAGTTTTGAGGGGAGCATGAGAGAACTGGAAAAAAGTAGGGATCAGAGCACCCCTGGGTATACCCTGCATGGCTCCTCCCTGACAAGGCATCTTCCCTGACAGAACAACAATGATGAGGACCCCAACTGTGCAGGCATTGAGGGCGTGCTGGAGAGCTACTTCCAGAGCCTGCGCACAGTGCAGCTCTATGGGCCCACCTACTTTGCTCCTGTCATCAACCAGGTAGCCAGGTAAGGGAACGGGGTGCAGTGGGGGGAATGAGGGGACCCAAACAGGGGGCTGAGTCCCTAAGGATAGTTAAGACCACTCTTGAGTGAACCTGGGCTTTGGGGAAAGGATAAAAGTTTCAGTGCTGACCAGGCTCTGGTATAAAGAGGTTAAGTGCCAGGGCACCGGGGTGGCTCAGTCAGTTAAGCATCCAACACTTGATCTGGCTCAGGTCATGATCTCATGGGTTTGTGAGATTCGGGCCCCCGTCAGGGTTCTCTCTCTCTTCCTTTCTCTCTGCTCCTCCCCCACTCGCATGCTTTCTCTCTCTCAAAATAAACAGTTTTTTAAATTGGATAAGTTCACCTCTTAAAAGAAAAAGACTCTCTTGTTGACTAAAAAATAATAAGTGAACCCTATGATATGCTGAATAGAGGAGACCCAGCTAAAACAAAATACCTCAGAAAGCTTGAAAGTAAAAAGAGAGAATGCAAATGGAAGGATTTCAGGGATATTTATATGTCTGTACACTTCCCTTTTCCCTATAAAGATTATTTATGTAATTCATAGTGAAGATAAGTTTCTTTTAATTATGAAAGCAACATAACATTGCTGTAGAAAATTTCAAGGATGAAGAAATGAAATAAGAAATCACCCAAAATACTGCCCATGGGAATGTGTATATATACGTAGTTCCTGACAGTGTTTTCCTTATGAATCCATAATTGCTGTCAAATTATAGGTAGGGGAACCTAACCTGACTGGCTCAGTCAGAAGAGCATGCAACTCTTGGTCTCGGGACCATGAGTTTGAGTCCCGTGGTGGGTGTAGAGATTACCAAAAAAAATAAAATAAATAAATTACATGTAATATCTCACTACTGATTTTTTTTCACTTAATATTGGAGCCTTGGCATATTTTTTGTTGTTAAACAGATTTCTTAATATTATCTTAGTTCACTAACTCATTCATTCAATAAACACTCAATAAAAAGTCAACGTGGCACGAATGTGGGCTGTGGAGTCAAGCTGGCTAAGTTGATACAGCTGCTCTACCACTCACTAGCGTATGGCTTTGAGCAAGCCCCTGAACCTCTCTATGCCTATTTCCTCAATTGTAAAATGAGAATAATAATAGTAATATCATGGCGGGGGAAGGGGACACCTGAGTGGCTTAGTCAGTTGAGCGTCCAACTCTTGATTTTGGCTCAGTTCATGATCCCAGGGTCGTGGGACAGAGCCCTGTGTCAGTCTCTGCATGAAGCCTGCTTAAGATCCTCTCTCTCCCTCTGCCCCTCTCCTCCGATCATGCTCTCTCTCTCTCTCTCTAAAATAAAATTTTAAACACACTTAAAAAATAGAAATATCATAGGGTTTGGGTGAGGGCTAACTAAATTAATATATGTCAAGCACTTAGTGCCCGCCACATAACTGCTATAAGTGTCAGCTATTACTGTTACTATTATTATCATTATTACTATTAAAAGGGCATCGCTGTGGGGCGCCTGGGTGGCTTAGTCGGTTAAGCGTCCGACTTTCGCTTAGGTCATGATCTCGCGGTTCGTGGGTTCGAGCCCCGCGTCGGGCTCTGTGCTGACTGCCAGCTCAGAGCCTGGAGCCTGTTTCAGTCTGTGACTCCCTCTCTCTATGACCCTCCCCTGCTCACGCTGTCTCTCTCTCTCCTAGAAATAAATAAAAAAATATTAAAAAAAAAAAAAAGGGCATCGCTGTATGCTCAGTTCTCCGCTGGTGCGCTAGAGACTCACAGATGAATCAGATCTAGTCTCTACCCTTAGGAGCTCCCGCCCTGGTGCAGGAGACAGAAATATAAATAAATCATTACTTTCCATAGGCCGGAGCTTCCCAGACTTTTCCAGCAAGTTGCCTGTTGGCAAAGACAAGTGATTGCTTCACCCAGGGGAATCTTAGGGATACAGCTGAAAGCAACCAGGCTGAGCATGTCTTTAAAGTCACCATATTTATCTTACAAATTCATGCAAATTTTATATTCTCCTCTTGTCGTGTCCATGTTTGCTTTAATTTGGAGAGGGAAAAAGGCGGGTTTTTTAAATGTCTATTTATTTTGAGAGACAGCGTGCCTACCAGTAGGGGAGGGGCCAGAGAGAGAGGGAGAGAGAATCCTAAGCAGGCTCCGCATGCTATGAGCACAGAGCCTGATGCAGGGCTCCATCTCACAAACTGTGAGATCATGACCTGAGCCGAAATCAAGAGTCAGACACTTAACCAACTGAACCACCCAGGCACCACCCCCTCCCCCCAAATTAAAGATGATTTAAACGTACTTCCAGTCATCTAGCTTTATCCACCAGATCATACGGTAGAATGGATGTCTCACGTGTCCTGTAGTCTTGGCTTGCCCCTGGACACAGGCTGGTACCCTCATGGGTGTGAAAACCCACATGAAAGGGCTGACAGCCCATCTTGGCTGACAGTATCCTAGAAGGCAGAGGAAGAAGAGGGTATAAGCTAGTCTGAGAGATCTACGTTTGGAGAGGACTGCTCAGCTTGGCAAGTTGGAGTTTGTAAGAGAATACAGAGTAGGCCTGGCAGGAGGAACGACATAAGCAAGCAACACAGTCATCAAGGGGCAAGCTCAGGAAACAGTGAACAGTGTATTTATGACCGGAATATGCAGTATACGGAGGAGCATCCAAAAAACAGGCCAGGAGTGGAGAGTGAAGGAATCAAGAGCTCAGGGCTTTTGGTTTAGTTGGGTTCTTCTATTGAGCATTTAAGATGTAGCCTGGATGAAAAAGGAACCTAAAACTCAATTCTATTTAACTTAATTAAATTTCAGTGGCCATATGTGGCTAGGGGCTACCTTATTGGATAGTGTAACTCAGTCCTTTCCAACCCACACAGAACCTTTGTGCTCTCCGAAGGTCTTATTTTTCTGATATGTAAAATAAGAAGACCGAACTAAAGGACTTCTGAAGTCCTTTTCAGATAGAAAAATCTTGGATTCAAAAATTGATGATGAGAGAAGGAAAAGGAGCTTGGAGCAGTTTTTAGACTGGCTAAGGACCCAGCAGCATAGGCAACGAGAGGTGGTCAGCAGAGGGGAGAAGGAAGAAAGAAGAAACGGGCGAGAAAGGGAAGAAAGGCCTTCAGCTTTTGGTCTTGCCCTTGTACAAACACTAAAATATTCCTAAGAGCTGTCAGAGCCCTGTGTAGTCTGGTCCCTGCTCCGTCTCAGCCACGAGGTCCACTCTGTTTCCCTCACTTTCTGGGCTCCAGACAGAGTGGGATTCCTTTAGTCCCATCACAGGGGCCTTGCCTATGCTGTTGTCTCTGCCTGGAATGATCCCCTCCTTCACATAACCCCTCCTTCATCTTCAAACATTGTTTCCTTGGAGCACCTGGGTGGCTCAGTCGGTTAAGTTGTCTGACTTCGGCTCGGGTCATGATCTCATGGTTCATGAGTTTGAGCCCTGCGTCGGGCTCTGTGCTGACAGCTAGCTCAGAGCCTGGAGCCTGCTTCGGATTCTGTGTCTCCCTGTCTCTCTGACCCACCCCTGTTCATGCTGCCCCCACCCCCCACCTCTCTCTCTCTCTCTCTCTCTCTCAGAAATAAATAAAACATTAAAAAAATTTTTTTAAAAACATTGTTTCCTTAAAGAAGCTTTCAGTGACCTCCTGGACCATGTCAGGATCCCCTACTAGATACTGTCATAGCTGTGTCCCTTTCCATCGCAGTGCTCATCACAAGTGGTATTTTATACCTATTTCTGTGATTCTGGGATTAATGTCCTCCCTCCCGGGGGCTGGGATGAATTTGTTTTTTCTCACTGTGTGCCTCTAGTGCCTACCATAACCCAGGACCTACCACAGTAAGTTCTCCGTGAGTGTTACTAGAGGGATGTCAGGCAGGCATCCAGGTCTTGGGAAGAAGCATGAGCTTCAGAAACCCCAGTCCCTACCCACTGCCTACACGCTGGCTGTGAAAACTTTAGGAGTAGGCAGTTCTCTTGGCCTCTCTGGGATTTCAGCTGGATTCTGATCTTGGACTCTCAACCAGGGCTGCAGCCAAGATCTCTGATGGTTCCCAGTACTATGTTCTGCTCATCATCACTGACGGGGTCATCTCTGACATGACGCAGACCAAGGAGGCCATCGTCAGTGTGAGTCTAAGGAGGAGGGCTTGCCAGGGAGGGTCGCTGTTAATAACTGTGAAGGGGTTGAGATTTTATCCTACTTGCAAGTTAACAAATTAGTCTACCAGTTTCATGGATGTTGGCAGAAGACACAAGAGTCCTGAATCAGAGACAAAGGACTTTATTCTCAGCAATAGCGGTAGCTCAATTATCACCATTTGCTCTGAATCTAGGTCCCAATTCCTCCAAGATCATGTTAAGGGGGCCAAATGACAGCTGCACCCACAATGGGAGATACTATAGGATAGAAACCCTGAATTTAGGGTATCTGAATCTTTTTTAGTGGGCAATAAGCATGCCTACCCTTTGTTCCAGTGTGAGATACTTTATTATAAACTGAATAGTAAACAAGTCTGCCCTTTGCTCCAAAGGAAGACACTGTTTCTTTCAAGGCTATTTGATATACAGACATCCTTGAAAAGATAATCTGGAACAACGGAAATCACTGCCTCTGCTTGCAAGATGCGCAGAAACATGATACATGCACAGAGAATTGTCCCCAACAGTTACCTCCATTGTTACGACAGCTCACCCCAACCATTCAACTTCTTTCCCTCACAGGCCTCCTCACTGCCCATGTCTATCATTATTGTCGGTGTGGGACCAGCCATGTTTGAAGGTGAGTTGGATGGAAGGGTGTCCATGAGTGAGACCAAGAATGGAGAAAATAGGGGAGGATCTGGGCACCCAGGCCTGCCTCACATAAAAGAGAAGATGGATGGTTGTGTTAGACCCTGACCAAGTGACAGACCTTCTCTGAACCTACCTCCTTATTGTAACTGAGGCTGTTGATATGAATATTTCCCTCCTGGGGGTCCTGGGAGAATAGAATGCGTGAGAAGGCATAATAACAATTCCATAACAATGCCTAACATTTGTTAGGACTTTAATACAACCATTAAATATTCTCATGAGACTCCAAAGAGGAGCTAACAGGGAAGGGGGTAGATTGGGTTGGTGTTGGAGAGGGCAATCAGCTGAGGGGTGTCTTCTCTGCAGCAATGGAAGAGCTGGATGGTGATGACGTGCGCGTGTCCTCAAGGGGACGCTATGCAGAGCGGGACATCGTTCAGGTAGACCTGACCAGGGAGAGGAAGTCATGGAGCCAAAAGGCACAGTGAGAAGGAGAGGCTAAGTTGGCAGCTACTCTCTTACTGCCTTCTTGTTCACCTATCTTTCTCCCCCTTACTCTTCCAGCCTTCCTGCATTCTTTGAACATACTCTTTTTGAGGAATAGGCAGGTTGCTACAGCCACTGTGGATCCATAGTATAGGATATCCCCAAAGCCCCTGCCCTCTAGTGAAGGTAACCAACAATAATCACACAGCTAAATATTTCATTAGACTATGATACGTGCTCCAGAAGAACAGCAAATGCCACTATGAGAGCTTATAACAGGGACTGACTTACTAGGGTAGTCAGGAAAGGCTTCTATAAGGAAACGACATTTGAGCTGAAACCTAAAGGGGGCAGAGAAGCAGCACATGCAAAGGCCCTGAGGCCCAGATGAATCAGCCCAAACATGGAAAAGGCAGGAGGCCGGGGTGGCAGGATCCCAGTAAGTGTGAAGAAGAGGGAGCCAAGGCCTTGCTGGTCATGGTGATGATTGGGAGTTTTGTTCTAAAAGACTGGAAAGTTCTTGGCAGATTTTACAGAGGACTGAGATGGTCAGACTTGCATTAAGAGGATCTCTGCTGCATGGAGGGTTGACTACAGCAGGTACTGTTAGTGAGGAAGCCTCTGAAGTAGTAGAGAGAAGATGAGAGATAGGAATCTGGACAGTAAGGATGGAGAGAAGAAGCAGGTTCAAAAGATTAAGAAAAATTTACAAGAGTTTATGCTTTGATCACATGGTGATGGGGAGTGAGGAGGGCTTCAAAGATAACTCTGTTTTCCAGCTTGAGGAACTGAGTGAGTGATGGCCCCATTGACTGGGGAGGGGAAACCTAGAAGAGGAAAAGATGTGGCAGAAAGGGCCAGAATTCAGTTGTGAACACACAGGATGTGAGGCATCTAAGACAAGTGAATGGAGATATGATACGGGCAAGTAAATACGTGGCTCTGGACCTTAAAAAAGAGGCCAGGGCTGGATGTATAAATCTGGGAGTCATAGAACAGTTTTTAAAGTCATGGAAGTATATGAAATCACCCCAGAAGAGAACTGAGAGAAGTGACCAGGTCTAGAGGTCAGGTAGTCTCAGGAGGAAGGGGGTTGGAGGGAAGAGCATCCAGAAGGGAACAAGAAAGTCTAGAAGAGTGTGGTGTGTCAAGAGTGGGATGTGTTTAGGAAGATTATGGTCAAACGTAATGAAAAGCTAGAGGGAAATCAAGCAAGATGAGGAGTGACAATTATTGCCCACTGGCTTGATTTGGGAACATAGGGATTATGACGTTAGCAAAAGCAGTGTCAGTACTGCATGAAGCCAAACTGGATCAAGTTGAAGGTGAATAGAAAGTGGGAACAAAAGGAGGTGGGAGAAAGTAAATGTGGAAAGAGATAATGTGATATTTGGAAAGAGATGTTAGGGGTCAAGGAGGAAACCTCCTTACTGTTTCCCTTCCTACTCCTCTCTTCGCTGGCCATTACCCACACCTGATTGTCTGTGCCTGTCTCAGTTCGTCCCCTTCCGAGACTATGTCGACCGGTCCGGAAACCAGGTGCTGAGTATGGCCCGACTAGCCAAGGACGTGCTGGCCGAGATCCCAGAGCAGCTGCTGTCCTATATGCGCACCAGGGATATCCAGCCTCGCCCTCCACCTCCAGCCAACTCCAGCCCAACCCCAGCTCCAGAACAGCCCTGAGGAGCCCACTTACTCTAATAACTAGCAGTCTGCCTGCCTGCTCATCCACTGCTTCTGCTGAAAGCCAGAGGCGGCTGGAGCCCTGGACCTCACTGAGGCTAGCTTGGAGGGTCAGTGCTGGCTGGTCGAGCCCTCTGCCCCCTCACCCACAGAAGGGCCTGGCACTGTCACCACCTCCCTGCCTTCATGCCAATAATAAAGCTGATCTTTACTCCACTTTCGTCTCATGGTTCTTGGGGAAGGAGACTAGAGGACCCAGGACCTGGGGCCACACCAAGAGAAGTGAGCAAAAATAGCTTCAGTTAAGGTTCATCCCCATCCTAACACCCATCCATCCAATCACTTCTTCAGACATTATTCAACACTTTAAGAAATGAGGAGTGGGGCACCTGGGTGGCTCAGTCAGTTAAGCATCCAACTTTGGCTCAGGTCACGTTCTAACAGTTTGTGAGTTCAAGCCCCACGTTGGACACTGTGCCGACAGCTCGGAGCCTGGAGCCTGCTTCAGATTCTGTGTCTCCCTCTCTCTCTCTCTGCCCCTCCCCTGCTCTCACTCTGTCTCTCTCTCTCTCTCTCTCTCAAAAACAAATTAAAACATTTAAAAAAATGATGAGTGAAACTTTGTGTGTGTGTGTTTTTTGGAGGAGAGGCCCATAGTTTTTGTCAGGTTCTCAGAGGAGTTCCTGACCTCAAAAAGGGTCAGCTTTACAATGACTCTAACTCTGCTCTGATCAATTTATTCTGAATCTTTTAATAACAATAATAAAAACAGCTAATATTTTGAGAATTCACTACATATCTAGGTGATTTACAAGCATATTCTTATTGAATCCGCACAACAATCCTGTAACGTAAGCACTATACTTTATCTCCATTTTACACATCAGGAAACTGAGACTCAGGTTAAGTCACTTAAAAAAATTTTTTTAAATGTTTATTTTTGAGAGACAGAGAGCAACAGAGAACAAGCAGGGGAGGGGCAGAGAGAAACATAGAATCCAGAGCAGGTTCTGGACTCTGAGCTGTCAGCACAAGAGCCTGATGCAGGGCTCAAACTCACCAACCGTGAGATCATGACCTGAGCCGAAGTCGGAGGCTTAACGGACTGAGCCACCCAGGTGCCCTGTTAAGTCACTTACTGAAGAGAACTCATTAGTTTGACTCCAGATCCCAAGATCTTCACCAGCAAACATCTTTCTGGAGTGTGGGTTCTATTAGGATATTTTTCAAAAAACATTGTACGTGAAAACACATACATTTTAGTGAGTCGAATGCAAGGTTTGCATTAAGATAAAATTGAAATTTCCGTTTCCTTTGGGCTTTACCCCAGAACCCTGGAAGACCCTTTCAATGCTTCTTTGGATAGCAAAATTCAAGAGGCTCAGCAACAAGCACTGCTTAACAAGTGGACTCTTCCCAGCACCCAAGTTCTCCATAGCCCCCAAGAACTGACCATAGTTTTTGAGCTCCCTTTTATAAATAAGGAATTTAAAGTAGTAAGAATTTAACAACTTGCCTAGATTCACATAGCTAAGTGGCCCAGTCACACTGAAACCAGCTGTTTAGACAGTCTTCCGACCCCCCACCCATAGCCATGATGCATTTTCCGCCAACCCTAAAGGGTTCCCAGTTTACCGTACACAAGCCCTTTCACATCCCACCAGCCTCCTATACCTCCCCAAGTTCGGCCCCCGCCTTCAGATCCACACTTCCCCTTCAGAACTGCTCCTGTGCCTTTCCCAAGCTCCTTCCCTTTCCTTCGGCCACGCCCGTTAACCCCAATCTGGTCCCGCCCCTTTCCTCCAGCCCCGCCCCCTTACCTTTTCCAAGCCCCGCCCTTCTCAGTCTCGCGGCGTTTTTCCCAGTTCTGTCCTTTCTCCCAAGCCCAACTCCTTCCTGGCCCATATAAGGCCCCGCCCTTAATTTCCTGAGGCCCCCTCTTCTATTTAGTCCCACCCTTTCACCCTTGTTCAGCCCCTATTCTCCTTACTGGAGCCCGCTTTACCGATGTCCCCGCCCACTCTCCGCAAACCCCGCCCCATGGACTGGTTTATTCTCTCCTAGACCCGCCCCGCCTCTACCCATAACGCCGAGCCCTTCCTTAGGCTCCAGCCTGCGTCCCTCTTGCTCCCGGCCCTGCCCCCAGCCCCGCCCCGTGGCTCCGGCCCCGCCTCGCCGCCTTTCTCGGAGACCAAGGCCAGGTCCCTACTGCAGCCGCGGCGCCAGCAGGAGGGAGGGAGGAGGCAGAGGGGGAAGGGAGAAGGGCGGGCTCCTCAAGCCCAGCCCCGCGCTCACCGTCCGTGTCCGCAGATTCGCCACAAACGGCCCGACTACTCCGGATTCGGAATACCGTGACTTCAGTCTACAGGAACTCAACTCTAAGGTGGAGGTGCTAGAGAAGCCATGTGGGGTGCCCAGGGGCTCTTCCGAGTCTCAGAGAAAGGCCTCTCTAGACTCAGCAGGCGGGCGGGGATCTGTGGCGAAAGTGCAGGTCGACAGCGCCGAGGCGCCGCGTTTACCCTGCGCAGACGCCGTCGCCGCCGCTGCTGCCGCCGCCGCTGCCACTGCCTTTGCCGCCACGGTCTCCGCCGCCGCCGTCCCCGCGCTGCCTCCGGGGCCCTCCATTGTTCCGGCGGTGCCAGGTCCCGAGGCCGGACAACCTAGAGGCTCTCGAAACCGGCGGCGGCCGACGGAGTTGAGACACCAGGGCGCCGGCGGGACCGGGAGCGGCAGGGGTCAGCGCGGGAATCCCGGGGAGCCGGGGCCAGAGCGTGGGGCGGCAGGGTGCCGGGGTGGCGAGGTCTGCGGTCTCCGGAGTTGGGGCTCTCTCTCCCCGGCCCGTCTTTCCCCGCCGGCCTCCCCAACTGGGGTCGGAGCCCCGGCGGGCGCCCCCGGCGATGAGCCCGGACTCGAGGTGGCCGGTGAGTGCGGGCCTGGGACCAGGGCGGGAGTGGCCAGCGAGGAAAGGCTAGACTACTTTCGTGGGGCGTGCGCTGAGCTGCCCGGTCCGAGTGCCTCTCGGGCCACTCCAGCCGGGAGAAGTGACAGTGCATTAGCTCCCAGCCCGCGTCCCAGGGCAACAGAGTATCCCCCGGGGCTGCCCGGGCCAATGGCAGGAGGGGAGCCTTGTTTAACGTGTTACACCTCGACTAAAGGGAAACGTCGCCGCATCCGGGAGAGGGTTGCGGGCACCGCCTGGGCCAGGCCTGATCGCTCCGGCCTCCGCCCCCTACTTCCTCCAGCCCCCTGCGCTCCGCCGCCGTACCCCTGTGGGCTCTGGGTCTTCCTCACGGACTTCCAGTCTGAGTTCTTGTCTCCACCCTGTGTGCCTCTGCCGCCCAGTCCCAGCGGGACTTCTGCCGGGGGCTCTGTGCTACTTTGGGAGCCAGGGCGACAGAGCTGCAGGATACACCAGGGACCCATCATTGAAAGAAAAGAGCTTGCCTGTTCCTCTGATTGGTTTGTGTTTAAAGACACAGCTGCAGGTAGGAAGTAAAAGTGAGTTGGAGTAGAAGGAGTAGTTTTACCCATGAAGCCAAGGGCTTTGAAAGAGAGGCTGGAGCAGCCCACTTGGCTGGGCTAAGTCACAGGAGAGAGGCCAAGAGATGTCACTGTTTGTCTAGGAGCTCAGGGTGGCTTTGCCTGGAATGGTGCCAACACCCTAGCTGAATTGTTGAAGTCAACTAGGCCTGGAGAAATTGGGGCAGTCCCTGACCACGCTGGGCTTCCTGGGGGCTGGTGCCATCTGCTGTCACTACTCACCCAGGAACACTGGAGAGGAGGAAGGGAAGGCCCTGAGGACCAGCTTGGAACTGAGTGTGCCTAGACTGTCATGCTCTTGTTTGTACTCTAAGTACCTGGTGCCGCTCCAAGAGCCAGGGCTAGGGCATAGGCCTCCTCTAAAGACCTCAGACATGAACTGCTTCTTTGTATAATGCAACAATTTCTGCTGGTGACCAGGATTAAATCACTGGCTACCCATTCAAGCTTCTACATGGGTTAACACCAGCCTTTATCTGTCAGATGATCTGATGATCCCCTCATTGAGCTATTCATTAAACAAATTCTTTATTCATTTGCCAAAACCTGAGTGTCCACTACATGCCAGGTCCTGGGACTATATAGAGGTGGGTAGGCTCTGATGTCTGCACTGTATAGCACCCGGTCTAGTGGGAGGAGACAAAGAACTTCCAGTGTGGTAAGTGCCTTGGTGTAGATGACAGTGGAATGCCATGGAAACACAACCCTCCATGGGAAAGACAAATCATTACAGAAGTGACATTTGAGTTGGGTTTTGAAGAATGAGTAGGAGCTCACCAATCAGGATGGAAACCATTTCAAATCATCTTGCAGGAAGGAGAGGTTATAACATTCAGGGAATGCCAAAGTGCCCGGGGTAGACAGAAGCACAGCTGTAACTGGTGAAAAGAGGAGTCTGGAAAGAAGGACTAGGGCCAGACAATGAAAAGAGTACTTTGAATATCATCATATTCAGATAAGTGGGGAGCATCGGGAAGCTTTTAACCAGAAGATTGCTGTGGCTGTTGCTACTTGGTAAAAGATCACCCTGGCCACGCGATGTGAGATTAGGCTAGAATAGTTGAGATACAGGGCAGGATGACTGGGCAGGAGGTGATGAGGCCCAGACTGCCCATGGTGTGAAGGTGATGGCATTTGGAGTCACTGTAGAGGTGGGCTGGCCAGGACCTTTGGGGAGAAGGAGGGCTGGAGAGAGTAGAGTGGATGACCAGGAACTCTTCCCCAGGCCTGTGCTAACTGATCTGTACATTCTAGATGTGACAGCATGGGGGTGGACTTTGACGTGAAGACTTTCTGCCACAACTTGCGGGCAACTAAGCCACCATATGAGTGCCCCGTGGAGACCTGCCGCAAGGTCTACAAGAGTTACAGTGGTATTGAGTACCACCTATATCACTATGACCACGACAACCCACCGCCCCCACAGCAGACTCCACTCCGCAAGCACAAAAAGAAGGGGCGCCAATCACGCCCAGCCAACAAGCAGTCACCCAGCCCCTCAGAGGTATCCCAGTCACCGGGCCGTGAGGTGATGAGCTACGCGCAGGCCCAGCGCATGGTGGAGGTGGACCTGCATGGCCGAGTCCACCGCATCAGCATCTTTGACAACCTGGATGTGGTGTCAGAGGATGAGGAGGCCCCCGAGGAGGCTCCTGAGAATGGCAGCAATAAGGAGA